AAACACACAATTATACACTTTGAAGGGTCCAACTGGTTGCACTGAAATGTTTTTTTGGCTTGAAGATAAAACAGGTAATAGATAACTAAGACATCTTCAAACATCGAGATCTACTTTCTATATTAGTATTCTAATATAATCTTGTATATGTGAGGAGGCACATATTAATTAAGAATTAAAAGTTAATGAGTCTGGTACGGTCTGATAGAAAATGGTTCACTGGGATTTGTGCTGATGGGACTCGATGATTTACTATGCTTCACCAAAATAAAAGAGAAAGACGGGGGATGAGGCAAGACAAAGAGGTTTAAATTATTTCAATAAAAACTTATTACTTTGTATTTTATGCTATTGTAATCCTTTCTTTGAGCAATTTTGTAATAGCATAAATCATTATTTATCTCAGATTAATTAGATTAAAGACCTTTTAAATCATGCCGAACGCCCATGGAGCTTCTCTTTTCACTGCGCAGAAAAAGCGATGGATCTTCCCTGCCGATCACTTTTGGTAGATTAGAGGATTGTTGTTAATTGGTCAATTGGCTAATTGTTCTTCTTCCTCATTAGTCACCGGAGAGGAATAACAGGCTTTGTTCAGTGACCCTCATTTACAATAATGTGCTAGTCAAATTAGTGAGGATTCACACGCAAGCAAGCCAAAATCTAAATTGCTGGCCAGAAATGTAGTATTGTGTATTTGGAGAATCCAGAACTAAATGATACAAATCATGGATCACGCCAGTGATGAATAGCACACATCTTATCACCAATAGGTGAACAACAAGAACACTTTGCATTGGAGTAACACTAATCTTCTGCATATATGGTGCAAAATGGATGGATTTCCCACATTTGTCAATGCCTCCTACAAACTGGGATACATCGTAAGCACAAAATAAGAGAGGCAGTTTGGTGAAGAGACTTGTTAACAAAGAAACAGACGTGCTAAAGTTAGTTGCATACAGCATATCTCTAATAAACAACACAAAGACAAAGTGCTGAAAATCATAACCTCCTTTGTAGAAGCAGTAGTCAGTAATGGTGTGTAATTTCCGAAATAAAAGATGCACACACATTGAGGCCCTGATCAGGTTTATGGAGTCTGCACTAGTGGTTCCTGGCATGATTCACACTCAGTGTCCCCACAGAAACCGGGATATTCCCCTCACGGTGTAAGAGGATCCTCTAGTTCCCCCATCGGACTCCACCAAGACCAGCTCAAGGTCAGCTTGGAAAGAGATGAAGACGGCCATGAGCACGGCAGGACCCTTTGCCTCCCAGGGCCGCGGCCTCAGTGCTCACCGTGCCCTTTACCTGCTAGGAGGTAGTGGAGGTACCTTGCGTCGTCCACCTGGCTGTGCCTCCTAAAGCGGCCACTGCACATCATCGGTAAGATGAGCGGATAGCGCGGCGCGACGGGGGAGCTCTGTGGGGAGGACCGTGAAGCCAGACACTCAAAGACATTGGCACACTTTGCAGCGCGCAGCCCAAATGTACAACACGCTCCCCTCAAACGTGGGCTTGTTTAGCTGCTGGCACCTGAAGGCATCACTCACGTGGATGCCAGCCGAGCAGAGACGTGCCCACGCCGAGTACACACCGCAGAACCACTACCAGCTCCCGTGCCCTCGCCGTGTCTACCTTGGCACTTTTTGAGTTTGATGGAGAAAAAAATAAAATGTCCCACTGCAAACGACAAGTGCCAGACAGCATATTTATACATCTTAATTAGCAATAATGAAGGCCGATACCTGCCAGCGGTCTGATGCCAGTGGTTACCGTGTTGTGTTGACTAGAGTGTGTGCCTGGTGTTTGCCTTCTACTTGCATGAGAATCAAACAAAATCAAATAAATAAAAGAGTTCCTGTGTTCTGCTAAAAACCATTAGACCATTAGAATCTTTACGGGGAAAATGTTTAGTCTGACTTAAAGATAACTGGGCGTCTCCTGGAGAAAAGCAAAACCTGCAGGCCGCAGCACGCCTCGGTTTACGGTTTACGAATGAAAAGCAGATGATTATTAGTTGCTCTGCTCTTCCAGTTTATCATGTAACAGATCATTCACTGCAGAGGACCTGTCAGGACATGGTGAAGAACTTCAGCAGAGTCCCCATGATTTCAGGCCGTGTTTGCATGCAAACATGTTTAGATCTGTCCTCTGCGATAGGTTTGAGCCCTGCACAGCGAGACATTCCTCGTGGAGGCTACGGAAACAAGTTGCAAGGTTCTTTTACCGTGAAATAGGCTGCAGCCATCCTCCCGACGTCAGGATTTATGGCCTGGTAATTCCCCTCCGGAGTAATTTGGCTGGTACATCTGCAGCTTAGCAGCATTCCAGCAGAGCTCTCCTGTGCTGTGGAGTCAGGAGATGACTGATTGATTGATTGTATTACTCCACTTTTAACGTGGCTTCGCTGAGCTATTGCAGTGAAGTTCTAATGTAATCTATCCATAGCGAAGGACAACTGCGCTCGGCGTCAGCAGCGAGCTGGGTAACCCTGCTGGGATGATCACCAACTAGTGAACGTAGCATATCGACCCGCAGCGATGACCACACAGACACCCACCGGCGTTTTGTCCTGGATATCGAGCTTTGTCGTTACGAAAAAACAAAAACCCAAATGATATCAATGATTTGTCACTACTTCAAACCAGTGGACCCTTTACAAGCCTGTTGGTGCCAATTACAGGCTACAAATGACAAAATGCAAACCTGTGGGATGCGGACAGCTGGTCTCTGAGGCCTCTGAGGAAGCGCTGCGTTTTTGAGTGCTCAAATCAAACGGTAAACATATAACGTTACTAAACTAAAAGTAAAAATAGTCATTGAAATAGTTACTTACTTTGGTGAACATAAAGTGGAGAATACACACATTGATATTATGCTGACATGCGGTCTTTAAAACATGTTTCCACATGTAGCTAGCTAATGTAATATGCTAGTTAACAGCTAACTAACGTTAACTAATCAGTCCTCGTCACGTCAATAGGATAACGTGACATAATGAAAACGTTACCTGACACCATAAAAACGCAAAGAAGAACCAGAAGTACAAGTGACCACAGACTTTGTCAGAACACTTTAACGTGAGTAACGTTAGTAACAGAAGTACATCATGTTGACGCCTCATACTGTACACACATACTCAATAGACTGTACACTAAATGTATGGTTCTGATCTACAAACACTACACTAATAAGTCTAATAAAATGCAGGAAACACATTTTTTAAGACCTCACAAATTACCATGTCAACATCTTTTTAAACTAACTTTGTATTATCTTTTGATCAAATCTCTGGCACTATTTGTTTGTTTTATTTGCAGTATTAGAGAAATCCTAGATCTAGGTCAGGTAGGGATCATAAAACGATGTCAATTTTAATTTCCTGTTAGTTAATGAACTGTTTGTTGTCGTCCCTTTTGTAGCCATATGGCTTCTCTGTTGACAGATTCCCTGTTTTCTCTGCTCGTCATCTGGCTTTGTCCACCCGATACTAGACGCGTGGCGGCTATCAGAAGAAGACAATACCATCAACACAATGCACGTTGCTGGGACCTTCAGCACGCTTGACACCTGATTTATCTCGAGCACCCATTCAGATTAGCTAACTATCCAACAAAGAGTCCTGCGTCTAAAGAATGGGTGCGGTCTGACACTCTGGGGAGGTTGAGGGGTTAACCGTGACATCTGGCCCCTGATCACCCAACAAGTTCAGGGCAGCTGCCCAAATAGGTCTGGTTTTCCCCATAAAAACACCTCATCCATCTGCTGAATCTCTCCTCGTATGAGTTTCTCCATGTTGGCCTGGGGCCCTTCCATTCACAGACGCGTGCGGGGAGACACCGATACCCACTGTGACGCCCATCCATATTTAAAGGGGAGTGCAGGTGACCTGTGGGTGGCCTTCTCTGGCACGCTTGGGCTCTCCTGCACCCGCAGAACCTTACATAACACGTTTGTTGGATATTTGCCTCAAATTACGGCAATATGATATAATGCACAATGAGCTAATGGGCTCTAATCTACGAGGCATCCAGATGACTCGTGCCGCACAAAAAAAAGCTGGGATCCGTGAAATTCGATCTGATGACGGATGCGTAAGGATGACAACGAGTGTGCAATTAGCTTATGAATACAACAGGTGACACCCTCATGACGCCCAATTACACACCCATTTGTGTTCAGTGTCTCCCGAGGCGGACTATAAACTTAACGGAGGTGGGAGAAAGACTCCTCATCGTGCCAATTATGTCACCAGACATTATTTTTAAAATGAACTTCATGCAAATGGAAGTGACACTTCAATTTAGCGACATTGAAATGCAAAGTTGAACCTGATTATCCAATTAGCACAGGAGGTTCTGCCATTATTGAAGATTGCTTCAATAAAAAGGGTTAGTTCCTGGTGTCCGTGGTTATCGACATCTTTCACCTTCAGCTCCGGCAGGGTGCTGCGGTGTCGTGGTGAATGAGGAGAGTCTTCGGGGGGGTCATTCATGTTTTAGCCTGCTAGGTGGCGGGGATGCACAAAGGCGACCAGGGGAATACAACATAAGTGTTCTCTCGTCCCGAAATACTTAATACCCAGAGACTTGTTGCACTCGTATGCAAATAAGAGGAGTTTTAACCAGACATCTTGCAGTTGTCAAACGCTTCCGTCTACTGCCAGGAAAGGAATGGGAATTCCTCCAGAGCAAAATGAAGCGGCTTCAAGCGAGGGGAGAAAAAAAAAGCTGTGAGACAAATCAGCACAATCAAAAACAGTAATCGTGGCTCAACTTCCAGTGAGATCGGTGGATCGGGGGGGATTTTTAGTTTACCCGCAATAATGATGAGACAGGTGTTAAACGAAAAGGAACAGCTGAAAAGCAATCCACTTTAAGGATTATTTGCATCAGATTTAGTTTGATTAACCTGATCTGCTGCAAATTGTAAAGATTCGTTTTAGAGGCTTTTGATCTTTTTGCCTAAAACAGAAAAAAAGAGGAAACAAAGCGTTTTTTCTGTACAGGAAGTTTATTGAAAATTACATGTAATTTGAAGAAAAGGAGAAAGATATTAATATCTAAAATGTAATGTTTCAAACTGCACAACAATGAGAATGTGTAAATCGATGAATAATTCTCAATTAGTGCACCTGTTGACACTTCATGCATGTCATAATTAACAGTGTTACACCGTTAATACATACATCTCAGAGCTTAGTTTGTATGCAGACCATTACTAATAAAAAGCCACACATTCTTGTCCGCACACATTCAGATAAGTCTTGCATATCGGATCATGTGAAAACAAACACACACAGATTGCAGGACATTGTTAACAAACTTACACACTGTAGATAGATACACAATCAGGTCGAATGATGACGAGGGCTGAACTAATTCAACCAGTGGAATTAGTGGTTTCTACATCATGAAAATACCACTGAATGAATCAGTAATATAAAGTGTCACATAATTGAAACCTGTGATTGACATGCAGAAGTGACAGGCTTCCAAACACACCGATTTACTTATCGTTTTTTTTAAATATCTCATTACACTACAAGGCGGCGCGGCCACAGTGCAGACCATAATATGTATAGATATTAAAAATGATATATTTTTGGTCTCCACCACTTTGGAGTACTAAACTCAAATGAATTGTCTTGGCGTCTCGTCGCATCGGACTCCACACAATTCTGTAAACTCGTAAAGCGTCGCTACCTGCAGGGATCTTTTATACACAGCCGTCATTTCCTTCAAGTCTGTGTGCCACATTACGAGCACCGTCAGGGGATTTAGAGAGAGCTTAAGTCTTAGTGTCTGGCAGCTGTATGTGGCCCATGGCAAGCAGCATCGTATGATCAGCAGACTTGGGAGACTTGGAGATCGCACTTGAAGTTGGTGTCATCTTCATCAGACGGTCTGACGCATGCTTCGTTAACATGGGGGAGAAAAATCCCCAGGTTTTTATACTGTACGGGTTGTTTTTTGGGAGGGGGAATTGGGCAGACATTCCACTTCAGTCACTTACAAAAAATACTTTTTTGCATGTGTGAAATTTAGCCTTAGGGCATTTTGAGTGCTTTGCATATTCAAATCCTGGCATTAATTGGATGACATGTTATGCAAATAGGCAAGAAAGAAGTACAATAATGATGCAGTTTGTTGTTGCTTCTATGAAACCATTTGAAAATGCTTTTCATTTAGATTTGTGTTTTAGTCTGACAAATCTCCCAAAGAGCCACATTATATGCACATGTAAAGCAAATGCAGCAATCAAGCTGAAGGAAAATGACTAATTGATTTGAACTACGCACACCCGTTGCTTCCTATTGGAGCTCCAACCCCTCAGGACCCAAACGTATTCAACGTGTATTTGTTCAGACCTCGCCGTTTGTCATGTCATCATCGGAGCCCTGCGGCGGCGAGATGTCGACCCGAGTGTAAATCACCTGTTCTCCACTCGGTGTGTGAGGGGTGCTCTTTGATCCCAAACTCCACACGCCACCAAGAGCCTGAAGAGGCCGGAGGAACCAATAGAAAGCATGTTGGTCCGGATCAGATAAAAGATTGATGAGGAATTATTTGCTATTCATTCCCAATGTTGAAAAATTACATTTTGCTAAACTTGCAACATCTTGTTACACAACAACAATGTGCAACAAGTCAAAAGGGAGGTACGTACAGTACTTAAATTGGAAGTATTAAGAGCTCGGCGAGGTCCGGGAACGACTGGCTAACTACAGCTAGACTAGTTCAAGCCTGGAACGTGAGTTTAAACATCAGCACATGGCGGAAGGCAGGCAGGAGAAAAGATTGTTATCCACACATCTTAATTAGTATCGCACAACTTTATGAACCCATTAAAATGTGTTTGGCTTTACAAAACATCTGCCATCAAATATCTGTTCTCCAATACGAAGGAATGGACCCAACATCTGTGTCACATCTGATACCGACAATGACTTTGAGTCCACACAGACATCGGGTCGTCAGACTGAGAGGAGGGTGGGAGGAGATTCACAGCCAAATGAAATGATCTCTTTGGATACACCAAATACTTCAAAAGGCCAGCAGGGTTCAACGCCTTGTCAGTGTACTGTACATCATTGAACATTGCAGAATTATGCATTTGAAAGCCAACTAGAATACATTCAGTAAAAAGAGATTTGAGCTCCAAGTCCCTTCGGATAAAGTAACTACCTTTACAGCAGCAGAGGTACATGTATACACAAGGCATAACAATCAGGAGAAAGTGTGTTTTGGCCTGTTGACATTCTATAGTTCAGTGTAGCACTCTGGGATTTGGCATCATACAGTTTATAGGTCAAATATTGTAAAAGACTGGATGCAAATACCAGAAGCGATCCCAGCAAAAGTACAGAGTGGACCGTCGTCTGATAAACAGACCCTCAAAAATGGCATGTGACTTTCAGTAAAAGGAACAATAATACAAATGTGTTTTAACACTGTACCACAAGCTAGTTTCCACTAAAAAGGACCACACACACTATTAAAAATGTAAACCTAAAACATCAGCAAGTGATTCTTCTACTGTCTAACATCCAGCTGTAAGCACAGGCGAGTCAACCTACTCATTTAGTCCGTGTCGGTACCAGCAGCGAGATCCAGGCTCGCTTCTGTGTTTGACACGAGCATCCCAGGTGGATGACAATCAGCTGCTGGTGCGGCTGACTAACACACACTCGGGACCTGAATGACTCTTTGGCTCCAACAATCGTGAGTTGATCATCATTAGTACTTTTATCTTACTGTATATGAATAATGGAAGATTAAATACACTGAGGCACCTACTTTGTGTGAACAGATATTAATGCTGATGTAATTACATATAAAAACTATCCGTATAACATGAATAACATTTCTGTGATGTGTACCAATTGTACCGTGATAATACAGAAAATAGGGTGCTGGGTAATGGGATAAACTTGCACTTGCACCATAAAAGTACCGTAGAAATGCATTAAACAGTGTTCTTTTGTTACATAAATAAATAAAGATTGTTCAGCATGTTTGTGCAGCTCGGTATCGTCAATCACCAGAAAACAACCCACTTGATTTGACTGAGATGAAGGCCGACCAACTCCAGGGCTTTTTCCCCCAGTGGATCAAATCAACATTAGAGAGATGAGTTTGACTCAGATGTGATTGGAAATGTAAACAGGAAGAGAATATAAAGCAAGACACGCAAGTTGTGATTATTGCACTTAAAAAGTTAGTAAAATGATCACCTTCAGCCCCTCGGTCCAACATATCAGTGATAGTCATCACAAATAAAGGAAATAACTAAAGTCACATAAATTCATGTTTGTTCATAAAATAAAAAAAAATGTAAAAAAAAAGGTACAACTTAGTAAACTAGAAAGTAGCCTGAGTGCCAGATAGCGCCAGCAGCTCTGTCACGGCCTTTCTCACAGTACCCACGAGCCGCTCGGCAGAGGTGGTCCACATCTGTAGCACAGAGGAGGTTTCCTAACGTAGGTGGCAAGTTTGAAGATTGTGCTGGACCGACACGGCGACTCAAGCGGTCTCATCATCCGGGTTTCACGATGACTTCACCACCTGGTAAACTGCTGCATATTATTGTCAAGAGTGTGTGTGCAACATACTTCTTCACAAATGCAAACCATTCAATTAAACATAGTATTTGTCATCATTTGGGATTTGACGTGAATCGATCTATGAACTTTGCTCTTGTTTAAGCACCAGACAATGGCATCAAGAAAGAAAGAAAAAGGGAGCAATACCTGCCCATACCCACCGCCAGAAAAAAAAGGTGTATAAAAATGACATCCGTTGGATAGAAATGTTCTACAGCAAAGACACGAACCGTTAAATTGCCTTTGATCGATCCCACTCCTCCCCACTGACTGACCACAACGTGTTGGAACAGCTACAGCGAAACCTCATCTTCCCGCGTCTGGTCCTCCTACTTTTTGCCGAGTTTACCCGCCTTCCTTTTCGGCTCATAGGGTGTCCGGAGAATGCTCGGCGTCTCCTCCATGACGCGCACCAGCAGGTCGTCGATGTAGTCCTCCAGCTCCCGGATGTGGGCGTCCTTCTTCCTCACCACGTCCTTCTGCTTGATGAGTTCCTGCACCACTTCGTCGAAGGACAGGTTGCTGTAAGCGAGAGCGCTCTCCTGCTTCGCCTCCTGAAAGAAAGAAAAAAGGAAAATGCTCAACTCGACCCCATTAGACTACACACGGAACATGCTCCATCTTCATATGTCACGTGTATATTCATCTGATGGCCGAGTCCTCTCACGGTGCATCTGACAAAACTGACTAATTAGACGCGGTGGCCTAATGCGACATCGACTGTCAGGTGTTTATCTTTTGTTCCCCGTCGCTATTAAAGGCTAATTGAGGGTTTAGGAGACGAGACGGCTGTTGAGGGATTGAGCGCGATTGATGGCAGATGTCATGGTCCGACACTGAGCGAGTGTTTTAACGAGCATCAGGAGCAGTTAACTGCTTCAATGGGACTGTGACACTACAGCAAGCAAGCAACATCTTGTTCTTTCACTTCAGCTTCCAGCGTATAAAAGCTGAATTAATGAACATTTCCTCTAAAGAAAAAGGGATCTTTGTCATGAAGGTGGTGGAAATGCCAGGCTGCATATTTCTGCAATTAAAAGGTCAGGCTAATAGATACGCAAAATACGGATGCAGCCCAAGCCCAGCCTCCCTCTTTAACCCGTTTGGACGGAGCGGCGCAGGACGGTATGTGCGGATCGTATATCGCGGCTACGAGAGGAGCTGTAATCGTTTTTAATGAGGGACCGTTTTATCGCTTGGGTGCTGGGCGTCCTCCCCCGAACGGATAGAGCAGCAGAGCCTGTTTAAAATACCACACTTATCAGCTTCCACTCCCGTGCACCAATCCAAGCCCCGGCTGCCGAGTAGAGACAATGCAGGGAGACTGCTTACCAGGTATCGTATCGCTTCACCAAAATGAAATACTTGGCCACCGATGTGAGATGCCCAGCGTACGAGAACGGAGCGCGGCGACGCGTTCCTAACGCACAAGGCACGCAGAAGAAGAAAACGGGCATCTCTCTGAGTGATACTCAGGAAACGAGAGGACTGAGGGCCATTTGGATGTTGGTGTCACACACTACAGCACGTGCACGCGCTCGCTCCCCCACTTTCACCTACAGGCACACACACACACAGCGTAACAATCAGGAGCTTTAGTGGCTGGTGACAAAGGCCTGGAAACGACCATGAATTGGCAAAGCAATGATGACCGTTTTTCGGCGATCAGTAGTGAGGGGAAGATAAGGCGCACACTTGGCATTCTCCAGTTGTGTCATTACAGTTTCTAATGAGCTCAGCTTTGAGAATCTAAAAGCTCGGCCCTTTGAAATCTCTCACTGCCCACCCCCACTCCCCGTGTGTGGTTAATTAGGGCCTTGAAGCTCAGGAAATGGGAGCTGCCGTTTCTGCGAGGCATGCGGCGTGCACAGGGGTACATGTGTGGATACCGACAGCCCTCAACACCCACAAAGAAAGGTGAGGAAAGCTATTATCAGCATTCTCTTTCTCATTTAGGCGTCACTTTAAAAACGCAGCTCCCCTCACTCCCTCATAAATAACTATTTTGCAGCATAATGGCTTACAGATTGTGTTTTTATTTAAATATAAATGAAAAAATATATTTGAAAAAAAAAAAGGTTAAACTGAAAGACATTTAAAGTTAAAAAAGAAAAATATTATAAGCTCCAATTAAAGAACAGGTGCTACGCACAACTATGACTGACCTTACTGGCCGATATTTCACACCACTTCAAATTATGATCAGATCCGACATGACGACCGACGGGTGCAGCTGCTAATTAGCTGAATGGCAAAAATCTGATTTTTCAGAGGCCTCAGAGATCAATGTCACCAGCTGCTATGTCAAAGGAAAAGTTAGGGGTTCACAATTAAAGATCTAGAATCCGCGTGACACAGATTCACACATTGGGATCATTCTTTCTGTTTAAATCGTAATCTTCTGCCAGGTAAAACTTTTCACCTAACAATCGATCTCTTTAAGAACAAGGGATGTGCCGTGTGTCTCACCGGTTTCCTGCCATAGACATCCTTCTTCTTCCGGCCAAACGAGATGTCTTGATTTCCTTTGGACTTTTTATCACTGCAAAGCATCCAAAGAGTGGTCAGCGTTTAAACCAAAAGGCATAACTGAATACCTCTGGTGTTCTTATCATCACTGTACTAATAAAGAGGGCCTAAGGTGTCTGTCTCACTGCTGATAATATTCAGAGAGACTGGCGTAGCTTATTAGGAAAGAAAACATGCATTACGGCATGTATTTGTGAATAAACTGTTCCACCTTTTTGTGTTCACCACATTATAAATGACCACTGAGCGACCGTGCAGCGGAGGAGGCAGCAGAGATGATGGACTGGTGCCCACAAAGATTCGTGCCTAATTGGGTGGTCTATCTCTGCAGAGGATCTCATTACTATAACAGAGGGCTTCGTTATCGAGTCCGGACTCCCTCAAGAGCCACGAAGGACACCTTCCACTGCGACGAAGCAGAACTCACCAGCTCTCCACGCAACACGCGAAGAGATGGAAGTAGCTCGGTGGAACGGTTTCAACTACAATACTTGACGACATAAACGAGCCACAGTACATTTTAATCAACGAGAGGGACATTTTGTGGTGTTCCCCGGATTCCTTATTTCAAAGAAGTGACATTAAAAATAAAGAAAATGTGATGTGATGTGTTGAGGTCCTGCAAATTGACTTAAAAAAAAAAAAGGTTTGGGTCATTACATTATATTGAAATACAGGATATTTATTTAGGGTATGTTCTATGTACAGAATGTACTATTTTTAGTTGAAAAAGTTATATTTCATCTTTTTTCAAATGATCCTTTATGCACACTTCGACCACATCTCTTTCTGTGGTAACTATGGTATGGAGGCCAGCGGAAAACGTTTTGTGAGATGGACTCAACGAGGTACCGGGGAGCGCCGGGTTGAGCGTGTGATGGAGCCTACCCGGCTCCGTGGTGGGAGGCGAACGGGTTGGTGTCCGCCTGCAGGTCTCCACTGAAGGGGTTGGGGCAGCGCAGGTCCCCCGAGCTGCCCGAGCGCCCCGCGTTGTTGGTCTTGCGACCTTCCTTCTTCCCCGTCACGCGTTCCAGTAGGCTGACCTTCTCCTTTTTCTCCTTCCGCTCCGCCCGGTCCCACAGCTGCCCGGGCTCCCCCTCAAACGGGTTGCGGTTGCGTGGGAGCGTGGCATACTTCTGTGGCAGGGTGTCACTGATATCAGTGAAAGGGTCACTGTGTGCCTCTCCCTCCTGGTAGCCTGGCATCTCGCTCTGGGAACGCCTGTGAGGGCCGCCTGTGCTCCCGGAGAGACACACGGAGAACAGCACTTCAACGTACTGACAAAAGTAAAAGGGCCATGAAGCACGTTTGAAAAATAAATAAATCAAATATGTGGCAGATATGTTTGAATTTGTTTTGATACACAATTTGGAATGACCTAAGTGTGGTATTGTTTATACCGTACAGCCAACAAGGAAACTGGAAACTGATTGTGTTTTTTTTTTCTCTCAGAGATAAAAACAAAACAAACAAAAAAAAGGTACTCAACATTTGGATTACTTTAGTTATTTTCCAAGTTGATATTGTGGCTCCTACACCACAAAAGGAGCATGTTTTTGGGAGAAGTAAGGACAATTTGTTGAATTACATCTTATCTGGTATTGTGTCCCTCCCACTCACAGCTTCGGATAACTTCCCCTCCTTTGCATGCCAATCTGAATAATAACAAAGAGGTGTGATAAAGTTAAAATCCTCAGATAGCTGGGCAGTGCAGTTGGACAGCGACTTTACTTGTGCCAACTTATTGACATTCATGGTCATTTGTTCATGTATTGGTGGGCAGTCGATTGACTGACGGCTGCAGGCTTCTACTGGCAAAAGTTGGAATTTTCATGCTCCAGATAAAAATGAACAATGTCAATAGCCAATAACCTGATTTCTAATCGATACCGGTCATCAGCAGGTTGAATTTTATTTGGGCAATAATTAAAGAAATTGCTTTCCAACATGTTCTTGGGACCACGGGAAGCCAGTCTAACGCAGAGTCACCAGAAGGCCACGGACAGATTGGCTATTAACATCTCAGCTTTGCAAACCTTATACTGGACCTCAATGCGCCTCAAATACGACCCCTTTGAGATCAGACAATAGATATTCAAACAAAACAGGTGCAATGACGTGTGAAGATCTGCAGCTTGGGGTCCTCACCACTCTCTTCGATGAGGTTCATGGAATCCAGCTTGGGCCTGGAGCTGGTCCCAGTGAGGTCCGACATGGAATGGGCCGCGGAGAGCTTGTGAGAGCCGGCGAGCAGCGACCTCTTGGCCTTCGCTTCCGTCCGGGGTTCCGGCGCCGGGCCAGCGGGCCGTTGGTGGGACTCCGGGTCGCACGCGGCGGAGCGCGGCAGGATGGCCGAAGACGCGTCGCCGAAGCCGCCGCCATCGTGTTTGCGCCCCTTCATTTTGTCCTTGAGCTTGGAGAAGGGCGAACGGGGCTTCTCCTTCATGGAGAGGTCGAACATGCTGGCCGTCATGTTGTTCCTCATGAACTGGATGCTCACTTGGATGCGTCCTCGTTCTTTCCTCTTCTTGGCCGGCTTGGACTGCAAAGTGTACCAACTGAAATGAGAGTGCAAGACGCAGAGGGCGGAGCCAATTCCAATGAGGCAATTCATATAAAAAGGGGGAGCAGGATGGGTGGAAATCGTCAGAGATGATTACATGTAATTCAGCCTAATTCAGGAAGACGGGTTTACAGAGTCAGTGTGTGGCAAAAGTCTTTACACTATCAAACTACATGACAAAGGGGGACAAAAACAGCTAAGATTCTTTCTAATGTGCTCTACCTACTTCTTTGTGGACATCGCTGAAAGGGCTAATTTGAGCAGACTAATCCAAAAGCTACACACAAATGCAGGGAGGGCTTAATTCGTTTGAGCCTTTTTTTTTTGACACAAGTGAGAGTACAATTTATCATTTCAGAGGATAAACATTATTCTTTGAGAACTGAACACTAGAAACAGCCTGCTGCTGAATAATATAGAAAAGACCATTCCGGGCTGCTCTTGGGCTCCTATTTGTTTAACCTCTCTGCTTTTTCAACTGGAAGTAATGGGATTTACGCTTTCACTCCGAGCAAAATAAAGTGCCATTTGCACAAATCTGCCCTTTGTTCAGAAATGCAACGACCGGCGACTGGGAAATTGCAAAGCCGCGTCGCTGGACAACCCAACAGTTCCTCCATGCGAATGAGACGTCTCCTCGGAGTTTCGGGGCTGGTGACAACGTCCTTTAAGAAACCGGCATGGGGAGGAAACGAGCTACCAGTCAGTGCATCAGGGGGCGTTTCATCGTCGATAGATTTGCACTCACCCACCTCCAGCATGGTGCAGTCTCGTCAATAAAAATCTATCGTTTGACCTCTTAAGTGTTCTTTTCAAGCTGAACTGATTCTACATTTTGCTCAGATTCAAAACACTGTGTGTTCCTTCGATTCCTGACATTTCTTCTTGGATTTATCTGGATATTTGTAGTACAGCATGAAACATCCGTCGTCATTCGATGCTGCCTTTGCCTTTTCTTAACGCATCTGTTGAACGCTATTCTAAACGCTGTAGCTTGGAAGGCCTTTCCCGGGTCCGATTCAGCCTGATCGGCCGCCCCAGCGTGCCCGCTGCCGTGGGGCCGGGACTTTACCTCACGTGCGTCTCAAGGCCAAGACAAACCTCCCCGCGCTGCGAGCCACAATCCTCCCATTGGAGCCGGGACCGCTGGGAAACTCCTCACAATCAACAAACACAGGTGTGCGATAATTATGGGCTGCCTACTCAGATATCAGGACGGGCTTTCCTCCCCAATATGTCAGTTTAAAAAACATTGCGGGCCGGGGGGCCGCGGCGAACACAGACCCACTGTGGAGCGTGGATACGCTATCGAGGGTCCCGGAACGTCATTGTCGGGTCGGCCTGCAGTGTGGGATTAGGCCAACGAGCAACGCCAGCATATCCATTACTAAGCCACGGCGGGAAAAGCGCATGGCCTCGAGGTGCGTCGGCTCAGACTACTAAAACAAATAAAACCCATCCACACTGATTAGAACATATTGGGATTCTCCCAACTGATGGGCAAAGAGGAAGTGTGCTAATGTCTTTCTATGTCGGAATGTGCAGTGGGCTAATTAGTACCAGATCCACTTTAGTTATTCTCTTCCTGTTTGCTTAATGTGGGGTTAATAAACGTGCAAGTGTTGAACTTGTAGGGGTCAACACACCCAAGTTCAGCCTAATATAATACGGTCTTTATTACCTACAGTGGTGGCAGACTTTAGTTTGCTCCACCAGTGCATATGATCCAGCTTTTCATACAGTCATTGCATAAGGGGAAAATCCTTTTCCCAAGCATGCGCCAGGCATCAGGACAGAAAACTGCCTGCAGTAACCCACTAATAAAAAGGGCTGACTCACATTGAAATCAATATCAGCCCTATAGAGACCCCACTCCACCTGACTTGCATTCCTTTTTGTTCCCCTGACAAAAACAATACTAAACACTACACGGAACAGGCCGGGATTCAAACCCACGTCCCTTTGGCTGCGAGACAAAGGCTACTCGCCGTTCACAAACCTTCCAGAAAAATAACAGTGAATACATTTTGGGTGTATCGGAGTGACTGACTAGACGTGTTCAGCCAGCTCTGCTGGTATATTTTAGGCCAACTGCTGCTCACCGTGTCAGTGAACAAGCGAATAGTGATCCGTCAGCGACGTACACCAATTCGTTGCCGCGCCTCAAATCGACGGAGAGAGTCAACAATATAAAAAGGTTCAACCGATCTGAAGTTACTGAGCATAAATAGAATACCTCATCTGTGACAGCTGTTTCAAATTGTTTAAAAGCAAATAACTTAGAAATGTTGGTGAACTGCTCTCAATCTAACAAACTAAAGTTCTAAAGCCAGTGTATAAAGAGAATGAAAGGACATTGAATTCATATCACGCAGCGTGAAGGAGTTGGGTCAAGAACATAATTACCAAAAGAGCTCAAAATACAAAGATACATTGGTATTAGAATGTGTAACCTAATGTGGCTAAAAGCACATGTAGGAAAAAAAAAACTATTTTAGTTAGTACTTCAATCCACTTATGACTGGAATAGTTGCGTGAATATCGTTCCACTTCCTCACAAAAGTCCAGTGCTCGAGCAGCACCGCGTTGGCACATGACTGTGAGCTGGAGCTGCGAAACGCATGGCTGCTATAAAAGTATCACATGTACTGTTGAAGATATAGGTCCGTACAACACTCTTCACTCACAGTGTCCAAATCACAATTACTGTGACTGTATCGAGGTGGATGATTGATGGCATCATGGCAGTGGACTTAAATTATATCTTAATGTTTAAATAAACAGTGAAAAAGTGGTGGTTTTTCTTCTGCATGGTCCTTGAAATGAGAACTTTAGCGCAACAGTATATGATACTTACTCTGTCTTCTTCCGTTGCTTGTTATCAAAGATTCCATTAAGGTTGATGGACCTCTGACCCAGGAACTTGTCCATCCCAACCAAGGACCGATGCATCACGATAAGGCAAAGTTCATACACTTCAGGGTTGCCCTCCAAAAGTAAGCCGGGTAATTCAAACGAGGCTTCCTCTCTCCAGACGGGGTTAAGCGTCTTCTCTGCCACAGATGTCGAGTACTTCTCTTTGCCCAGCTGGATGATAGTGTAGGCATCGTTGGTGCCATTTTTGCCCTTGGGCTGTAAACCGGTTGCTTGTAGAACAGTGGCTTGCACGTGGGTTGGAAACCACTTCTGAGACTGCTCGGCCAGTGACATCATCGGCACTGGGGGTCAACTGAGGGCCATTCAAAACAAACTAAATGATCATTTATGTTTATGTAGTTGGTGTTTTTGGTAAGCGTTATGTGCAACAATGAGCAAACATGGTTCACTATAGTTTTTTGTCTGTGCGCCTACAGTAGGAGTCATTACAAACAAGTCTCATCTTCTGTCAAATCACAGATGTCCAAGCCGCTGGTGAGTCATCTGAAAGAACACAGGAAGAAACACAACGGCATGAGTGTCTTTTCCAGAACCGTAACATGACGCATGCGGGGGTTCAAGAAACATTGATTGTCAGATGAGCCAATAATTTCAGTCAGCTTTTATATGGATAACATACAGTATTAAAATCATAAAGTACAATATAACGTAACTATCAGCCCAACTATCTTCCAGAAGTGGAGAATCAAGGAACTGATGATCTCATCCAGTGACACATTTGTTGCTGGTCTATTGTCACTGAATTAGAGACCGACTCAGCTGGATGATGCCTCAGGTATTCTGTCAAAATGCATCTTCCCTTTTTGATCCATGGCTTCAGACTGAGACCACGCAGCTGTACGGTTAATAGCAGTCTAGCGCCTGTGAGCAGCCCCAGGTTTTATTTATAGAAAGCTTGTGTGGGTCCGGTGTTTTGAAATGAAACTGGGTTTCGATCACAAACGTCACGAGTAGTATAGTCAGTATATATGGAATTTATGGAGTTAGCTTCTATCCTCTGACTTGTCAAAAGGCGCCGAACTAACTCGAACTTACAATTTTATGAAACGACTGGTCTCCATTAAAGCCTCTTTAAACACTACGAAACAATACTAACGTGTGAGGCCTTGTTATTTTTACAGAATAACGTTAACTGTGCGCGAGTAGCAACTCAGCTAGCGAGCACACACACAGAACATCCCCCCCTCTCCCCCTCTCTCTCCCTCTCTCTCCCTCACACACAGCTGCTCACCTCGGCGTCATTGTCACCGGCACCGGGAGACTCTCGGAACTTCACGGAGACATCGGCGCGGTGGTTCCTGATGAAAACGCCAGCGAGCGTCACTTGTCGCTAATGCCGCTGTTGTTGCTATTCACTTCTGTCGGGCCAGCGACTGGATTTACTTCCTGGTCTGACGTCACTTCCACCTCACCCCGGCGGAAGTTCAAGCGGGGGGAGGGAGGGTTCGCAACGCCCTCACGCGCACATCAAACTGCGGTTTGAAAACGGTTCTACAACGTTTTACAGAGACGAGTGTATTCGCAATACCTGCGAAAAAAAGAAAACCCGAAAAATTCCCAGTAAAAATAAGAGCAGCTGATGAGGCTATAAAGAATATTTTTAACCAGCCTCTGGGAGATATGGTCATGTCATGCGCGTGCACGTGTGTGTGTGTGTGTGCACTACACTTGAGAGAAGTAAATCATATAAACATGGGAAGTGCTTTTGTCTCATGAGCGGGACATGGAGGTGCAGATAAGGGGTTCACTTGAATGAACACAGACATGCTTGTCACTCCACTTGACAAGTGCATCTTAACCAAACACACCTGCCTCTGTTGGCGTTATCGTTCTGCGGTGCAGTATGTACACACCCCGGCCTGAGGCTCCTGCAGGGCTATCCATCAAACCAAACTTATTGCACTTATCTCGTACATCTCTGAATGAAAATGCTAAGGCTCTGTGAAATATTAGCTCATACAAACATGTGAGTCAGATAGCATTTAATGCATTTGGGGATCTCACGCTCTCATGTTTTGCTTTAAATGTCGGTGTCAACGTTAAGGGAATAATTATAGTACAATGTCACCCGGTCAGGATACGGATGTGTGTCAAAATAAAGTGCCTTTTTTAGGGGAAAATATTATTTTCCAACATAAATACTACTATTTAAAAGAAATTATTGATACAAATTCTAATGATAAAATACATTTAAACAAACTTAATATTTTTAAGTTTAATTTCAAATTGCACACAATCAGTCTTTGTGTTTTCATTGCGTCATAAAATCAAACAGTAAAACATCCAGGTTTTTCCTGAAAATGTCATCCTGTCTGACGGTATCGACAACATTTTTTGTGCCACATTTTATACACATTTCTCCCAAAATCAGCCTGCTGTATTTGCTGTCTTTCAAACAAGAATTTAAGGTTGGCAATATGAGAATCCAAATTGTGAGATGTTACATATTTGTCAACCATTTGTCACCGTTAATACTGTTAGCTGTCTCTTTCCCCTCTGAATCAGTGAGCAGAGCTGTTTTATTTATAGATTGAGATGTGTCTTTATATATTTGCAACACACCTTGAACGTTATTTCCCAGAAGGTTCACCATATCATTATGTCCATATACATAGTAGAAAATAAAACTACCACGACAAAGGACTTGTGGCTAATTGACCCACTCGTACATCATTTAAAACACAGTTTGGTTGCACAGCATGACTGTTAAAATGAAATGATTAGACAGCAGTTAGAAGATGAATTACTGTCGAGGGTACGGCCACTGTTTCCAACTGTATGAGAGATTGGATAAGGCTGCCCAGTGAACGAGTGAAATATGCTTAAACTGTTCTAACTACTCACGCTGCAAAGCTGCGTGATGTAACCAGTCCCATCGCTGCTCGCATTCCTTTCTAGGAATTCTTGATTATGCGCTGTAGTTAGCGGTGTCAGCTCGGGCTGAAGGAAATAACGACCAGAGGCGTTCAAATTCGCCACCAGGGTCACGACACACTTCCTTAATTTGACAATAAGTTAAAACACTTTCCCATATTCCCCTCTGTGGGAACATAACACCACTGTACCGCTGCTTTGTGAGTTAAAACATGAAAGACGTTGTATTCCACCATCACTTGCATCCTTTTATTACTCCCCTCTGCAGAGACATATAGGTGCGTATGAAAACGGAATATCACGCTATAAATTAGAGAGTAAGGACCCAACTCTGTGAGGGAATGACGCTGAAGGTCATAAACTGTCCGACATGTGGGTGAACCTGCATGCGTGGCCGGGGTCCACGTGTTGAGCAGCATTAGCCGTGGCCCATAGCGGCCGCCATCCACTCCATGCATATGGTTCTAGTTAAGGCCCCTTTCTTCAACACTAGATAGGTTGTATTACATTTATTAAACACTTTACAAAATCTCTGGCTGCAAGGTTGTCCATCTGTTGAGGACAGGAGAAAAATATATGAAAGAGTCGTAGGGCGCAGCGGGGGAGAGGGGGAACAGTTGTGACGTCAGCGCTGGTCTTAATGTGGTGCAGGTCCGCGGTGGATGACTGATTTAAAAGGAATAGCTTTTAGCCAAGTGAAGAGTTAGATCACGGATGAGTTTTAATAAAAAAAGAAGGAGAAAGGCACACAAATCACCTCCGCTTTGCTCTGAGGAATGTTTCTGTGCACGGCTGTGATATATAGGTGCAGATGTGCGACTGCAGCGTGACGAGCACAGCTTAAAAGGGCTGCTAAGCTGGGGCAACATGTCAGCCCGGTGACTCCCTAAAGGCCTTGACTTCTACCTTGTAACCTCCAAAAAGAGTAACTGCAACTAAGAAACGGAAAGAAACTACGACGTCCACAAATCACCGGCCAATGAGCTCAACAGGTGCCTTTCTATTTATTAACATATCAAAAATCAAAAAGAAAAAGAGCAGGAACCAGGAGAGAAGCAATAAGGAAGCTGCTTCCTTCCTTCAGCATTCATATCGTATTTGGTTGGATTCTCATCAAATCCCCAAACATAATAATACACGAAAAACAAAATCCCACCAACGCATTTCAGCTTGTGCTGTGGAGGCCGGACGTCCTGCGGTGATTGAATAATCAGAAGCTGGTTAGAAGCTTTATAGGGGCAGCTGAGGAGTGAAGGCGACTGGCTCTTTGTTGGTGGGCTAATAATGGTAAGCGGACTGCAATTTTATAAACCCTGACAGACTCTTTTTCAGTGTGCATTTACCCGTCAGCGCACCGATGGAGAGCCGCTCCACCTCCAGAGCCACAGCCCCACCCTCAGTGCCCGTTCAGCATCCTGAGCTAGGAGGCAATGGGAAGGAGCACGTCCCAGCTTGAGACTGTTGTCTATCATTTCTAACCTCTTATCATTTAAAAACTATTGTGTCAAGTATACATAAATACTGTAAAATATAAAAAATTCAAATTTTGAGGTGAAACATTTGTTGGACACTTGTCAAAGAAATAACTTTGTCCTTTGTTATAAGTTTGACAAACTCATAACTGTTATAATAAAATGAATTAATTCAGGCATTTTTTAATGCGTATAAATAAACGCAAAATGTAATTAATCTTTAATCCAAACCCAAAATTACACAACAAATAAAGCCTTTTCTTTTCAGGGAACCACTGTGTTTCTATTGCTGATATACCTGAATGTCCAGATCTAGTATGCCTCACATACTGCTGTTTTTATCCAACAAAACATTTATCATTCATATGTGCACCAAACATCAGCAGACTATCATTCCCGTGCGTCCACTTTAGTTACGTGTGCTGCAGCTTGTGAAAATGTATCTTTAGTTTTAGGTAGCAAAGTAATTGCCTTAATAATTCTGATAATAAGTGTTGATTGGTTAAAGACTTCACGCTGTAAATGCAAGTAAAGCAGTGCGGGTAGGAGCCTCGCTGTGTCCCCGCAGGCCTGTAAATTAGTGCGTTCGTACGTGCACAGTTTAATGTCAGCAGCACACTCTGAGGTCATGTTTAGAGGGCCGGGGGGAACAGGTGTCCGGCCTGCACCCGTATAAAAAAGGCTCGGGCCGGAGGAAGCGGCCACACGTGTGTGCCCTGCAGTCAGCCCCTTACAGGATGAAATAATTCATCAGAGCGGTTTGGGGGGAAAAAAGTTCAGAGGCATGCTAATGACAAGAGCATGTTCGCTGAGAAAAGGAAAGCTGTCCGCTCTGAAGGACTCGGGGACGGCAGAACGGAGGTTAGGCCATTTCCAACTCCTTCTTTTATAATCCATGCAAATGTCCAATAGAAAGTGGTGGTTTTGTAACACTTGGTCCGTGCATAAATGCTGTGCTACCTTTGCGTGTGTTGGGTGTTACTAGATATGAAATGTTTGCAAATATACGATGCTTTTTAGAAGAAAAATATGTTTATTTTTGTAAACGCTATCTAATCAATTGGAAATATAACATATGGACTATTTCATTTAGGAGAACCTCGCTGCTGGAGACAGAAATTTCCATCCTTGGAATAAAGATGCGACTGGATTTTACAGTGGAATGATTTAAAGTAAGTTAAAGTAATGAATGTAGAACATGCTGTAAATATGTCTCTTCAGATTACCATTTTTAAAAAGACGGTGGAATTCATGGTGCACCGGTATTTGCATAGCCAATAGGATATGTGTTTATGTATCTTAACTTAACAAGCAGTGAGATTTGGAGAGACTGTGCATTGAAAAGAGCACACAAATATAAAGTAGTATACCGTAGCCCTACAGTAAAAAAGAGTGGGATGCATCATTACGTTCCCCAGCCTTCAAAGCTAGAAGCAGAAAGGAATCAGCTTATTACCAGTCTCTACATGGATAAACATCCCACACAGCTACTCAGTCTGCACAGTTTATATAGCAATTTGCCTATATTACGTGTCAAATTAACATTTTTCTTCTGCACACATATACACATTGAGCCCAAAATGGCAAAGCCACACTTGTGTATAGATGAGATGAAACTTTAATGATACCTAACGGACACCAGTGCTGTACAGCTGAAAACTGAGACCACACATTTATTAATAATTATGTGAAATGCAAACTAGTAAGAAACACAGAATTAATATGTCATCAAAGCATATTGCAGTTGCTCAATGAAACAAACAGATATAGTGCTTTTGTCAAATGGCACGTGAGTTACTATTGTATAACATAATGTATGTATTATGTAATAAAGGTTTTGAATATTTTAACACAAAAGGAACATTAACCAAAAAAGGATATTAACCTTGCACCAACTGATCTGGCAAACAACGCATTTAATTTTTTCGATCAGGAGTTAATCAAAAAGTAAAGTTTTTTTAAAAGTGTCAACAACACTGAAAGTGTGGTTGTTGTTTGTATTTAATAGTGCAATGTTAAACCCAGCTA